CAAGGGGACCAGGGGACCAAGGGGACCAGGGGACCAAGGGGACCAGGACGACCATGTGGACCAGGAGCAAGCATACAAGAGACGGGAAAGGAAAATAAGTATTTTTGATTAGTTAATTAACTTGTTGTTGATTACGTAAATAATATTTTTTTGATTCAGTAATTAATTTCTTTTTGATACACATGCCTCTGGTGGAGCCCTGGGGGGCCATCGGCTGCTCGTGAGCGTGAGCCATGGGAGCATTCGACAACACTTCCGTACTTGTACTTTAGTAGTGAGCCGCCTTGAAGTATGGGCAATGATGTGTTCTGAATTGATGAACACCTTGCGGAACTGATAGGGGCCAACCCTATACCGATACCCGTCCTTGCTTGCAATCCAAAATACTGGAAACCGATAGGGGCCAGCCGGGGCAATCCAAAAAGACTTTTGGCATTGGAGACACGAAGAAGTTTGTCCGCCACTCATGCGAACAGAACACTTGCCAAGTGCCAACAGCACAGTGACTGTTCACAATTTGATATTGATACACCCTATGGATCCAAGTACCTCCTCAGTTGAAGGTATTTGGAGACTATTTATGTAGGCTTGGAGGGTCCAAGTACCTTCTGAGAAGGTATGTGGATCCACAGTGACAGTGGAATGCTGCGCAATAAGTGTTCCATCCATGTACGGAGAAGCCGAAGGGCGAGAGAAGGCACAACTGGAGCAAACAAATGACGACTGGAGCAGCTGTGCTGTGCTGTATGGTTCTCCTGGAAGGGCAGCATTGGGGGGAGCCCTGGCAGCCAGAACAGGTCTGGACCTGTGGTGGAAGAGCGACTTGGAATGCCACGTAGAAATCAGATGGTCCATCATGCTGAGGTTGGTGTCCTGTTAGGCATTTTGGTGCTGCCCTCAGATGCCCTCAGCATTGGAAGTTGGGACGAGTTGTTTCGGATCACTTTGGGATGATCCAAAGTTCGTTCGGGTTTGTTTCGATGTGGGGTCGGGTCAATCAATAAGACTCAAAGAACCAGAGATGCCGCGCGTGAAACCCATCGAATCATGCACCCAAGCGAATCGAAATGATAGGTTTGGGAAGACCTCCAACAGCGCCAACACAAGACCCAGAAGCAATGACCGACCGATGTTTCAGCATAGGTCACCCATGAAACACAAGCATACTAGCATACTATAGCCACATTTTGGCGTGATGGAAGACAAGTTCTCATTTCCCAAACCATCCTGTGGCTTGGGATGAGTTTTTCAGAGGCCACTGCTGGGAAGCCCCATGCTCATGTCTGTTTCGCCGCTGGTGATTCCTGCCCCATCTCTTGAAGCAGTCGGGGGGCAGCGGGTGGGACGAAGCAGTGGCAGGTGAAGCATATTTTCATCCGCCAGACCCTGTGGAAGTCTTGTGTTGGTAAACTCGTGGTGAACCGGAGGTGGGTGGAGTTCTGGGAAAGGGGATGACACTGGTTCAAAGTTCAAGTTTATATTGTCTTTGATTATATGCTTGTTTTATCTTGTTGTCTCATGTTTTCTCTTTTGTCATGTCCACATCTCATCACAACATCATACCCCCCCAAAAAAATCCCAAGGGGTGCATTTGTTGTATGATGTGTATGCATTTTGGCCAGAAACGCCCCAAAACGATGCTTGTTACTTCCCAGTTCGCCGCGGCTCCCAGGTCTTCCAGTTCTGCCACACGACCTTCATCTCTCCCCGGTTCCAACCCGCGGGACCCGTTCGAGAGCCCGGACGGCAGAGTGTTTCACTTTGTTGCCGTTTTTGTTTGGCAACACAGGTCACAAGCAGGGAAGCCATGAATGTCATGAGGCTTCCAGGCAGATGAAGGTGACACATTCGCTCCTGAACAAGACCAGAAGTACTACTGTAGTTGGTTGGGGAACTTTGTTGTATGTGCAGATCTTTGCCTTTACTATCCTTCACTATATTCCATATCAAGCCAACAAGATCCTCAGCTGCTAGCCCGCTCAAAGTTTTTGTTGCCTGGGCTACATGACCATGGTCCTTCCCCCAGGAAACGCCTTGGCGCAACGTCTCCGCGCTTCGGGTCCTCGACGTCCGGCCTTTGACGTCGAAAACCAAGGCGAGTCGACAGCTCACGAGTCCCGCGAGTCCTGCGAGGCCATGTGTCCGGAAAGCCCAGGAAGGCACGGGAAGGCCATGGGAGTCCTGCGGAAAGCCACGTCGTCATTCCTCAGAGACTCGGGTTCAGAAGCTCCGATTGGAGGGAGGAGAACCCGTGTCATGCTTGTGGTTGGGGAGGTTCGTCGCTCGTGTTTGGACGTTCGTTTGGTTCGTCGCTCACCGAACATCCTTCCGATCAGTGGATCAGTCCGGAGCAGCGTTCGACCCCGCGTTCGACCCCGCGTTCGGCCGCCCGGTTCGACGTTCGGTGGAACTGAGGTGCCAGAGCGCTCACGTGCCACGGCGTGGGAACCGAGTCACGTGGGAACCGAGCCGGTCGGACCGAGTCAGGTGCTGAAGACGTCGTCGAAATCACGGGAGACGGATGTGTTGCTGAGCCATGCGAAAGGCATCGAAGTGAAGTTGCAGAAGATGAAGATCGGAAAGCTTCTCAACCCGAGTTCAACGAACTGGTGAACTGGCTAATTAATTTAATAGCTATTAAATGTTTGCTCTTCAGGCTGGTTTCACACATGATGAGAAATTGGGGGAGCGCAGATCTTGCGCTCCATCGCATTGATGGAGCGCTTTTCCCAGCAAGTCGCACCAGGTGCTTCCAACTTTGGCCTTGACCCTTCTGGCCCTGGCTCCTTCTGTCGCCCGTCTCTCAGAATCCGGAACGCGCGGCAGTCCGGCGGTTTTCGCGTGGTTTCTTGGGCTCCGAACTGAGAGGATCACCTGGAATTGATAGAGTCAATGACAATGCCTTTTCAATCCTTTTCAGGAGCTTCAATAAGTAGTCAATAATTAACTCTTAAAACTTATAAGGAGTCAATAGTATTATGCGTGCATGTCTCAGAAATCTTTCAGAATGCCAGCCAGGTGTATATGAGTAGCGTGAGATCGTATTCAACATCAGCAGTTGTTTTTTAATCCAACATGTTACACAGATTGGGTCCAGCCCACTATGTCTCAACGAGACCGTCTCCATCCTTTCACTTGATACAGAAAGGATTCTCCCTGCAATTGCACCACGAGTGTCTTTGCCATTCCACTTGGAGAGTTTTGTGTCAAGGCAAAGTCTCCACGCAGAAGGCACAGCCACAAATACTGTAGGTGGTGACATGTGGTGACCGTTTGCAGGACCACTGGACCGACTGGACCTTTGCAGTCCACAATTGTTTTGGATCCAGATTTGAACCCCGTTGAGAGACATGTGCAACACGTTTTTCGACGGCTGGTTTGTTTGGTCGCATTTGTTGAACGTACTCCATGTTGAACGAGCGCTTGACTGTCTTGCAGTCCCTGGCAAAAAATAGATGCAGCTCGGAATGAGTTTTTCAATTAAGATCAAAACA